AATTATGAGCGAGACGTTTGTCGGTAACCTGTCTAATACTAATTACGTAATCAATACATGAGCGCCTCCCTCGAAAACCGCTCTGTTCCTCGGAATCAACGAGGCCTCTTTACAGTCGGGTTTTTATTATTTCCCCATACACTCGGCCAATGCTGCTGAGGGCAATTATACCTCTATAATTTGCACACTGTTTTCTATCACCTTTTTTATAGATGTTAGATATATATCCTTTATTGAAGTTCTTGGGTAATTCTTCCCTCATTAAACAGCTATTGTACAGTTGAGTAAAGAAGATCCAATAATAAACTGGGGCCATGCTTCAGCAATTCAATGTTTACCAATCCTGGACCGGCTGCTTTTCCATTTTTAAATCTCTGTATGTTTTTTCCAGTCTCTCTCACTATAATATATTCCACATCAGCCGGTTTCTCGAGCTCTATGTTGTTAAATGTTACTAAATGCAAATCTATTTTCTTTCAAAAGTTCTTCGTAATATATCTTATATTGATATATACTTATAGGTTGTAGTACTGAATTTTGCTTTTCGTTTTGTCTGAGATTCTTTATTATTTTACATGCGTTCTTTGATTTGGCGTTGCCTGTTCTACATCTTCACATACTGTATACCAAGCTTCATTTTATGCTTTTCTTCTTGTTTAACTTCTCTAATTTGACGATACCGTTCTCTGTCTTCAAGATCTTGAGTGCTTAACCATGTATTATAAGCAATTTTGTCTCACATTTTCCCTGCCAAATAATTATTCCACCATGAGTCACGATTTCCTTTCCCACCAGTATGTTATATTTCTACGAGGCTCTCATAAGCTGCTTGATGTGCAGCATCTACAATTCCATCGTAGAGTGTTTGCGTAGTTCTAACAGTTTCTTACTCAACATGAGCTTGTAGGATATAGATGGATCTTCAAGCAAGCTCATTTTGTATTATTTTTTCTCTATGGTACTGGATACATGAATTTTCGATTCCTGTGTCTGCTTTATATAAGGAAGATACACTCTTGATTTCAGCAAAAAATGGTCTGAGTTGCATTCGGCTCCTCCACAGACTCGAACATCTTCCACCTTTATTTTATTGATGCTTTTTCCAACTGTACTGAGCGCATAATTCTATTTGTCGTTCACCATTTCAATTTACCACTTCTTCTCCGTATCTTCCTACAATTTCGTCTTGTGTAAGCCTTCCAACTCTACTGTTAAAATCCCCCACTAAAAATATATCCCTCCGGTTTGGTATCCCATCCAAGACCGTCGTCAGCTGATTAAAAATCCTATCTTTCTCCAATTCGGTAGCATTGTCATTTGGAGCATATATACCTATAACTAATACTATTTAAATACATTTAATATTAAAATCAATTTTTAAAATATTCTCACTCACACGTGACCAACTCTTAATGTTACGTTTATATTTCTTTAACACAGAAATGGAAATTCCTTTCTTAGCTCTAAATTGTTTGTTGACACCACTATATATGTGAATGTAGTCTTTTATTTCTTCTATTCACTGTCCCTTTTTCTTTGCTTCTGACAACACAGCAATTTCTATTCTCATTTTTTTAATTTATTCGAAGGTTTCTATTTTTTTGATTTTGAGACCCTGTACATTCCATGTGCCTATACTCATACAGCGTTTTTGTTTGCCAAGTCGTTTTCTGGACAATCCTGCTTCATTACTGGGATATTTAGCATTGGGTTCTTTTTTACAGATGTAGGGGGGTTGTACCTATGCCCAAACCCCCAACTTGAAGAACCAGAGGTTTATTTTCGACGTTACTTTCCCCTGGACAAGCCGGCTTCCCTCTCGCCTTCAGAGCCTTGTCTGCGCTTCTCCTTTAGAACAATGAAGAACGCAGTGTGAGAGAAGATGAAAAAGAAACAAGAATTGAATACATGAGAAAAGGGGAGGACATGACATGACAAAAGAAAGGATAGTGAAAGACGCCCTAGCTCTCGCAACTTAATAACGTCGGGGTCGAAATATAAGAACAAGGGGCCAAGAGAGGCCTTACAGTAAAGACAAAAGTAGTGTGGTACAAGTAAGTTGAAATAATACCACATTAGACAGGGATACCATCCTTACGGCAGTGCCGCAGGTGGGGGAGGGGGAGAAAAAGGATACAATGGAGCCCAGAAAATAGAATAGGTAAGGTATCTGATTGACAGGATGTTATGAAACAACCCTTTGTCTGACTCGTCTGCCGAGACCTATACCGCATTGGTGACCCTACTGGCAGTAGTACTGACAAGTTTACCAACCTGCCAGCACCCTACCCCCGTAATACTCTCGATTTCATTGGAGTACGCAAACCTCCTCGCTCGCACGGACAGTGCTACTTTAAGGCGGTGTCTCCTGGAGGAGGAACTTCTTTAGATTTTTGGAGAAAATAATAGAAGTACTCGCGCCAGTGATTTCAAAAGAAAATTGTTTCTATTTCGCGCCAGTGAAGATGTGTTTAGAATGTTGTCATTAGTGCTCTCTGCGAGCTTTTGCGTTCATCTGTTTATTGTGCCAAAGAGGAAGAAGCAAAGTCATCGTTCAAGAAAAGTTGAACGAGTAATAAACTGTGTATTTTCTCTTTCAGCTCTCTATGTTTATTTTAAGTCCGCACACTGTATTCATGTAATTGATTAATATTATTCACAAGCTTATCAAATATGGCACTAATTGCCGATCTTTAACTGGTTCTTTCGTTATTAAATTCATTGAATTGTGCTTCTATGCAGCATATTGAACTCATCTTTTAATTTGTAACTATTCAATCAGTTTAATTACACATCTCAATTCACATTTCTTGGGTTTAATTCTGTGTGATGGTGACTGTATCATATTCGATTAGCTTTATATCTAGAAACAGGTTCCATGGGCCTTACTCTGTGGTGGTCCTTCAGAGTTGTGGAAGGAGTGACGGGGAACTGGTATGTATTTAAATTAATCACCTCTTAATCTACAGTCTGCCGCTTATACTACCTCCGCCAAATATTAACAATTACGATACTGCAATTATTCTTTACTTGAGACATCAGCTAGAGATTTTTAATTAATGAACGAAAACATCGTTTTCTTTAAATCCTGCATATATAGAAAGTGGGCAATTCAATCCCATGACGTGTAAAAAATCTGCATTGTTACATATCGATCGTAATGGTGCAGTAACGTCAAAATTAAAATTGTTTTAAAATACGATCATGAATTTCAATAAACTTGATAGGAAATGTCTATATTAAATAATGTATTATATTGTTGTGTGTTTCCCGCAAATGATTTACAACCATTATTTTAATTTATTATGAGAAACAAATTTCTTTCCTTTTCAGCTTATTCTGACGCAAAATTTCTCACAGTAATAGATACCATAAATTAGGCTTAATTCTCACGGTAAGGAATTCGAAAAAATACCTTAGTTTTTTTCCGGGACCGACTGCCGTGTGGATCGTCAGCGTTCGCATGTCTTGCCTACGCAATTGGCCAGTTGGTTCTCGTGCCCACGGTTACCAATCACGTGTATTTCGACTCACCTTCGTATTATATCCGAACGTTTTCTTGAGCCCCGGAATATCTATCCCCACTCCTTTCCCAACATTAGTTGCATTAAGAATAAATGATAGCAATGAGAATTGAAGACAAAATCTCGCGACGAGGAATGTTTGCTCCGTGTATTAAAAACAAATTTGCATGGAAAATGAACTACAAATTCATCGTAAAATTCATATCAAAAAACAACAACAAAAAGACTCCCCACTCCTTTCTAATCTAGCGAAGCGAAGGATCAAGAAAACGTGCGTGGATAATATCCTCTCCTCTTACCTCTCCCTCATCCCACGGTAGCGAGGCAGCGTCACCGACGTCATTTACACCTCAAAAATTGCTCCGCCCCTTTGAGATGTCGAGGAGAAAAATCTTCTTGTGGCGGGAGGGGGGGATGTCAGAAACGTGGAGCCAAAGCCAATGATAAGAGTCACTTGGACATCAGGATTGGTCAAGTGACCAGCTGTGGTTGCACAAACTGTAGAAAAGTCAGATTTGGCCGCATAGGCATTACCAATATTCTATGCTATGGACTGTACATGCTATATTATCACACGCATTTTATGAACATAAGACCATAAATATACCTAGTGTAAATAGTATAATAGAAATGAAATTCATAGTATTGCATATTCATTTGTTTACACTATGGTGAAGAACATGGCATATTATTCACATCAAAACCAATTCACCAGAAAAAAAATTGTAGTGACGTAGGGTCTACTTTCCCTGACTCTTTTTGTGCGTGACCTTGTTAGGCCATTTTAGAAAAATCGAAGGGTGTTTCTAGGCAAAGAGTATGTCTCTACCAACTGGCAGAAATTGAGGGATAGAGAATATATACTGCGATCTAAACAAAGTGGCACTTTATGATCACGAGCTGGAAACTTATCTAATCGGGAACTTTGTAATGACTTGCATTTTTGGTATTTAAGTTCTTGATTAAATGATAATGTTCCCTTCTCTATTCAGCAGTTGACTTTGAAGCTTGGTTTGAAGTGCCACGGTTAAAATGGGAATATAGATATAACGGTCCAGCCGCTAGATGTCGCATGATCGCGATCGTATCAAGCATTGCTTGCGATGCGACATCTAGCGGCACGACAGAAAAAGACGCGGATGCCGTGA